AAGAAATAAGTATGGCTCTCATGAGGTGGAGTACAGACAGAGAGATAAGTAAAGATGACCAGGACTGTCACATAGAACTGCAACCCGTGGAGGAAAAAGAAAGCGATGAATTTGCAGAAGCTGAGGAGAAAGCTCAAAGTGATGTTGAAACAATCCTCAACAATCTGAATTATTTACATGATGAAGATGATGCAGATAAAGCTGCAGTTGACATTGTAAATGTGTTAATTGCAAACATTCAGTATCCTGATGCAGAAGATATCACATTAAGTGAGAAGTGTAGCTCACCCAAGCCTGCTTTTGACGTGGACCTGGTGATCAAAAAGGTGAAAGACTTTTTTGCATCATGCGCCCTAATTATAAAACCAGATGAAGTAAAACAACACTTCTTCAGGTTTGCTAAAAAGGAATTTGAAAAAATGAACAGTGAGCTGAAAGATCAGGTGAAGAAAAGCAAAGGATTTTTGACCTTTCAGAGACAACAGGCAAACTCCCCTGAGAGTGAGAGAGCTGACTCCAGGAAAAGCGAACACATGAATCCCTCAGAAGTTCCCAGAAAATCACCAACCTTAGAAACCACAGTTAAAAGTTCTTCCGCGCTCAAATTTACAACAGTCGTGCCGGTTCTGAATAAACTGTTTAGTAAATTAACCCAGGCAGGACACCTTGACCTGACAAGTAAGGAAATCAAGATGTTTTCAAGGGAGTTGACAGAAAATGTGTACGACCATGTCCAGTCAACATATCCAGCCCCCACGATGCAAATGGGTAAAAGTCTCTCAGAGTCTGACTTCTCTAAGACTTCACAGGGTAACTGTAACGTACCCTCTGCTCCTGAGGTGCCATATGTGCTCGTAGAAGATTCAGTGGAAAGGTTCTTACAAAACCTTCTTTTCTGGTTGGAGAATGAAACTTTAACCCAAACTATTATAAATGACAAAATTTCTGGTGCCGTGGAAGATATAGTAAGAGTGCTGACCCCATCAAAGGAAGAAATTATGATTGGACCAGATGCTGGTGAAACAAGCGACAGACTGTTTATATCACACTCAAGTCCAGTTACTGATCTCACCAATCAACCAGTCTGTGTGAGTGCAGAAGACCCGGACCTGGATTCAAATACAAGCAGTGATCAGGCATCAATCTCTGACACTGACCCCACAGAGGGTCAAAGTCAGCCAGCAACCCCTGAAAACCCAGAGGAAGAGCTGTCAGAAACATCAGTGTCAAGTCAGGCTAAGCCCATTGCCGGTCGATTTGGTCTTTTTCTAGCCGTAGAAATCGCATATAATTTGCACAGAAATGCCAGAAATCTTCTGAATACAGAACAATTAGAGTTAGTTATCAACCATCTGACAGATTTGGTACTTTCTGAAATGAGATACACCGAATCCCTGGAAACTGTTAATAATAACATGAAAAAATTAGTCAAGCCCACAGCTAAAGGCCTTATCGAGGAGTTTGGATCTGCAGAGAAGTTCTTCAATATAATGATGTCAGAAGATTCATCTTTTGACGACACTATTCTGATGCACATAGCAATGAATCTCGGTGTCTTCATGAATACTCCAAAGAAATCCAAACTTGCCAGGTTTTTTTCAGCAGTGTTAAAAGCTTTGAAGAAGCCGTTCAGCTGCTGCTTTAAAGGCAGTACTGATGACTAAATTGTCACCTTGATTTTTTTTCAAATACCTTTTTTCAAATCTTAAAGCAGTCTGGCCTCAGAGTTAACATCTGAGGTATATTTTATTTTAAAACTATTTCATTCGACTTTAATTAGACTGAGAAATATTCTTCATCGTGTCTCCTCGTATTATCGTTACCATCACCCCCCACCGGCCGAGGCAGATGGCCGTCCCTTCTGAGCCTGGTTCTGCCGGAGGTTTCTGCCTGTTACAGGTAGTTTTTCCTCCCCACTGTCGCCAAGTGCTTGCTCATAAGGGATTATTAATTAATTGGGGTTTTCTTGCTGCTACTGTAGGGTCTCTATCTTACAGTATAAAGCAACTTGAGGAGACGGTTGTGATTCGATGCTATATTACAAATATTAAATTCAGCTGAATCTTAAAAACATGTAATATAGCATCACATCACCATCAAATCAAGAACTGAAAAATAAAACAAAATAAAAATAAAAACCTACATTGAAAACTGTTTGTGATTTGTCTTGTGCTTTCAAAATATATTGTCAAATATGAAAAGCTGCATTTATATGCTCTGGTCATTAGTGCTGGTATTTTAATGTAAGCAAACACAAGGAACATACACCGATGTGTAAGTACTACAGATGAAGATGCAAAGAAACCATGAAATAATTAATGAAATAGTGAAGTTTATGAATAAAATAAACAACTGTAGCACCGTCTCAGTCTCGTCGAATCGCCCCTCTGCCTCTTCCATTCTAGCATCAACTCTTCTTAACCCTCGTCTAATATGTGCATATTGTTTGTTGTTGTGTTTCCTAAAGTCACGAAGCTCTTTCGGGATGTTCAGGAGGCTGGGCTCATCTGCATCCATGCCCTCTGTGGCTAACCTTAGCTCGGGAGAGTAGCTCCTATCCACGTGGCTTTTCTCTGTCTGCTCTTCTGTCTGAGTTGTGCCTCTCAAACTTCTTGTGACTACCCCCGTTTCCATATTTAAAAGCAATCTCACCTATTGTCAGAAAGATTACCGTATCTTATTATAAGAGAAATTTCTCCCACTTCCTGGTGTCTGGAGTCTCTAAAGTAAGCAAATGTGGTAAAGGGTGTGGGTGATTCTGGGATTGATGCAGGAGGGCGACAGAAATAAAAAGTAAAATATTAAATTTTTGCTGTTATTGACTTTGCTTTACAATATCAAACACTGAGCCAGATGCACAATAGTCATGTACATCACACGTAAACACATTAATGTAAAAAAACACAGAGGTTAGGCCATCAAAGTGTGTGTAAAAGAAGTGTTTATGTCTGTCTTGCAGTTTCTGTTCCTGTCCGAGGTTTGCAGTGGAGAGCTCAGACCACACAGGACCGCCTCACCCTCAGAACATCTCCACCACCCTGCCCACTGTTAAGATGATTGTCGAGGTCAGACTCTTAATTTGTCTGTTAAACCGATGCGGTTTCTCTTTCAGTCAGACCTCCAGGGCTCAAGCTCTCGCTCCCAGCTAATTCCAGACTCGTATGGCTCTGGCTGACTTCTGATCTCCTCTGGGGAAAAAAGGGAGCTTAATTTCTTCTTCTGTCTTTCTCTTTCTAATTGTGCAGGTGAGTCACTCGGCGTGTGTGATGACCACCGCCGTCATCTGTAAGCTGCTGCGCTCCAAAGAGGCCATGGCCACGATGGACATCAGGAACTGGCCCCCAGTGCTGGACACCGGTACAGCGTTCATTCATTCCCAGAAATAGTACTTTAATTTAACATAAATGCAGGTCGGTGCACAGCCGCCTCACAATGCAGTCTGAGTAGTTCTGGTTGCAGATATAAACCTAAAGAATGCACATTAAATGAAATCCTCTGCTGTGATGAAACCTGCCTTTACAGCTCCATCACTCTGTGATTTATCGAAAAATAAAAACTTGCTGTAGCTGCAAGTCTGTGGAGGTCCCCACCACTGCTTTAGAGAATCAAAGCACCAGGAAGTGGGAATAATTTCTCCTATAATAAGGATTTTTAGGTCCCTGATAACAAAAATGAGCAGATTTTATCCAGTTTGGTAACGTTTACATCACTAGAGAAGAAAATATAGCCACATTATTATAATTACTAAAAACTACAGATATGAAATATCCAGATTTTAGAGGCCCAGAGAGGTGAAGAGCAAAGCAGCAAACAGAGAAAGCTTTGTAAAGTAAACAGTTTTAGCTTCATCCTTTTTTAATCCTTTAATCTTGACCTGCTGTCACCAACCTGCGCTCTGTGCAAGGCTGTCTGTGTGCGGAAACAACATCACATCAGAGGGTCTGCTGTTGTTGGCTCAGGCTGAGAAATCCAGCTCGACTCTGACTCACATGTACATCTGGGGAAATCACCTGGAGGAGCCCGTATGCCAGGTACACCCCTCAGATGTCTGTTTCCTAATGCGGGCTGAAGTCCTGTTGCCGATCCTGACGGTCTGGGGCCTGCCAGTCAAAAAGTCATGTAGCCAGTCACAGAGGGTGGGGTGCAGGCCGAGTGTTGCCAGCTTGTGAGTGAGTTTGTGTGGGATGACAGTATTGAAGGTGGAGCTGTAAGTTCAGTTAAAATATAAGTACTTTATAATTAAAGTAACACACAAATCTTCAAAGACTTAATCAATCACAACATTAAACTCACCCTGTTTTTGTAGAGAAGGTGTTCAGGCTTTTTCATTATCTCCTGAAACCAGCTGCATTGGATCTTCATCCTTTTTCACTCAGTGAAGTCTTTCCTTTTGTTGCCATTCCTCTGCACTGGAAAAATAAATAAATATATATATTCATTAATAATGAATATAATATTCATTATATTCATTATATTATTAATATAATAATATTATATTCATTAATAATTAGAAAGTATTTAAACATTCTGGTCGTAGACTTTTACATTCTTAGTTACGCTTGGTGTCATAATCATCACGATCAATACATGACAGGGGAGGCTCTGAGGTAGGCGGGGCTGTCTTTGGTGATGTCACCATGAAAGGTGGGACCAGCGTCTGACACTCGGTGACTTTAAACTATAAATTGACAGCATAAACATTGAATCTGGGATGCAGAGCCTCCCTGCTACTGCAGATAAGGGGGCGGTCTGCTTGCCTCCACCCCAGAGAGAAGGGTTACATCTCCAGGGTCTGGGGTCAGGGCACCCCACGGGCACGTCACTGTAACCCACTCTGGCCTCTGCTCCATGGCTGCTGGGTGACCCCTCGTTTGGGCCTCTCCTCAGCTCTTCCCAGCAGGGTGGCACGGTTACCCCCCGGTGGTCCTCCTTGGGTCTGGCCTGGATCTCCTCCATGCCCGCTTCATGCCCTGGGGGACGGGGCTATGGCTCCCCACACTCCCTAGCAGATCATTATGTGGAGAAACTTTTGGAATACATGCGTACTGATGCACACAGGTATGCACACAGGTGTACACACGGGTGTTCACAGACACAAACTACACCTTTCTTGGCTGCTGCCTCAAAGCACATTGTGCGCTGTCAATCTTACATGCTGCACAATAACATTTAATATTTAGTATCTAAATATTAAATGTTATTGTGGCTGCTTAAGCTGCTGCCCCCGCGACCAGGCCTCGGATAAAGCGGATGAAGATGGATGGATGGATTTAGTATCTACTGTTATCTACTGTTATCTAGTTTATTGTGATGGTGCTGTATTTATTATGTTGCTCTTTTTTGTTTGTTTTCTCTTCTGTTTTTTTTCTTCTTCATACAGGTGATCCAGGTGTTTTGTTTGTTTTTCTTTTTTTCTTCCTCCCTTTCTCACCGTCTCCTTTCCCCTCTATTTCTCTCCCTCTCTTTCTTGCCAAGCAGTCTGGGCCCAATCTGCCAGCTTACCCAGGGGAACACGAAGGCGTTCTCATGCTAGCCAATAGATGTAATCCCTCCTGCGAGTCTGTTCTGGGCCTCCAACTGGTAGGACATGCCCAAAACACTCCTCCCAGCAGAAGCCTTTGTCAGATGCTTGAACCAAAGAACTGGTTCCTTTGAATGTGGCAGAGCAGTAACTCGAATTCACTCTGCTCGATCAAGCTGCTCACCCTACCTTTAAGAAAGAGCCCAGTTACCCATCAGAGGAAACTCATTTTCATTGTTTTATATGTGATGTCATTGTTTTGGTCAGTACCCAGAGCTTGTAACCATAAGTGAAGGTAGGAACATAGATCAGATACTGTCCCAGTATACCCTGGAGGTCGCCACCTGATGAAGCTGACACGAAGCCTGCAAAAAGACAACCACAGTGGAGACCCTCAACAACCTGGTATCGCTAGAATGTGTCCATAAAAACCAGAAACAGAATCTATGACAAAGAAAGAAGAGGTCCGACTTCTCCCCGGCTGTACAGGGACCTCATACTCCCCAAGGACCCTGACAGGATCACCATGTACACATGAATAGGACCCTATCCCTACTTTTATGGCAGAACTGCATTGAACGAGCAGCCTGACATGTTTCTTATGGACATGTAGAGTAGAGGGTTAAGAATCTTTTGCTGTGAATGACTTCAGCACTCTTTAAGGCTTTTTAAGCATCAACAGAAACTCTGCTCAAACAGATTTATTAAAATATAAAATATTGCTTGCTGAGAAAGATCACACAACACATTGAACATTTCTCTTCTGCAACAAGCATGTCTGTTTATGGATGTAATTATTTCAGGAGGTGTAGTAGAAGTCAATGTCTTAAAATATTAGAAATGATTGCCACTAATTGTGTTTGTGATGAACAAACAAAATACTTTCATAAACTTAAATCTTTGCAGTTTAAATAATCTTTTAGTTGTCCATGATGTGCGGTGGAATCAGGGCTTGCAGCAGTCTTTGTAGGCACATCTGTACCATTACAGTCGATGTTGTAAACTGGTTTCCTCAAACGCTGGAAGACCTCAGCGAGGAACACGTGACCATCCACCTCATAGGGGCTTACATCTGTCTGTTCTGGATGCAGCCGGCCGCTGGATATCAGCTCCTTGAAAGCCTGAAGCAGGGAGGGAGTGTCTATCTGTCAGAGGGGTGATGGGATGTTAGAGGAGAAGATGAAACAGACATCTGAGGGGTGTACCTGGCATACGGGCTCCTCCAGGTGGTTTCCCCAGATGTACATGTGAGTCAGAGTCGAGTTGGATTTCACAGCCTGAGCCAACAACAGCAGACCCTCTGATGTGATGTTGTTTCTGCACACAGACAGCCTTGCACAGAGCGCAGGTTGGTGACAGCAGGTCAAGATTAAAGGATTAAAAAAGGATGAAGCTAAAACTGTTTACTTTACAAAGCTTTCTCTGTTTGCTGCTTTGCTCTTCACCTCTCTGGGCCTCTAAAATCTGGATATTTCATATCTCTAGTTTTTTCATAATCTTACGCTCTTCAGAATACTTAACCTTTTTTCTGTTTTCCTCAGTCCGAAAAATATATTGAAACACAAACATTCAAAGATATTTGAACCCTTTGAATCATTACGTTCATGGATCTTTTCTTCTCTTCACATTCAAATTCTTAAAGTTATGCAAAAATCAGGTCAATGTAACTTTGTCCTCGTCTGTCCTTGTTAGATGTTGAAAAATCTCTAAGTAATAAAAATTGATAGTTTTCCTTCAGAGATCCTAAATCCCTGAAAGTCACTTTAAAAAAGACCCTATAAAGTCCTTCTGTGTAAACTTTGTCTCAATGTAAAAAACAAACAATCAGGCTTCTGGTTTCTAAAGTCATTAAAATGTCATTAAAATAAGCAGAAAACGTGATTCTGTCTCTGCTGCAAACCTCCATGTGTATCAAAACTGGGCAACCTCTTTACCAAAAGAGTGTGGTTGATTCTGGGGTTGATGCAGGACTCACTCTTTGAGGGTGCTGCGCGGACAGGTGATGGCTTTGCTCAGGTACCCAGCTCCACCATCTCCAATCTGATTGGATGACAGATCTAAAATCTCCAGGGCCCTGTTCTGCGTCAGCATCATGGCGAGATGAAACGCACCGTCACAGGTCACATGGTTGCTACAGAAATCCAAGAAAGACAAATGTATGGTATGAAGAGGAGGAAATGTGCCCTCTGCTGGCTGCTCGACTCGTTTCCTACCTGCACAGGTCCAGGTAGCGCAGGCTGTGGTTCCGCCCCAGGCCTTCAGTGAGCTGCTCTATCCCAGTGTCGGTCATCCCCATCCTCCCCAGGTGGAGCTCCATCAGGCTGCTATTCACTGCCAGCATCTTAGAGCAGTGCACTGCCCACTCCTCCTGAGACACAAAGAGCTGGCTCAGATCAGTCTGCCTCCCATTGAGTTTTATACCTGGTGTGTGTTTGCACCTGATGGCTGAAGAGCAGCGGGCGGCTGATATCAACAGAGCAAAGAGCCTTGTTTTTCTGCAGCATGATGATGAGCGCTATAATACTGCTGGTGTCCTGTAGGGATCGAGAAAACTCTCAGAAACAGAAGGATGTCAGCACCAAACCTTTTTAAAAACTGAAGCCCATCTACCAGGTCGCAGTCGGCCACTTCCAGCTCCTGCAGCGCGCAGTTCTCCTGCAGCATGCTGGCCAGTTCCAAACCTCCTCCTCTCCCGATCTTGTTACCTGACAGCCTGAGAGAGAGCAGGGTGCTGTTACCCTGCAGAGAGAACGACAGGCGGGGACGTGGCTTCCACATTAGAAATGTTGGAGCCACATTAAAAGGAATGAAAATCCAACTGTAAATGAATTCTGCTAAAATCTAAAAGGATCTCATGAGTGAAGAGGAGTCTTGGCCAGGATCGAGCTCATTTTAGTTCATGGGGCATGGGGGTGAGGGGTTAAGCACCTAATTCCTAAAGGAAGAGTAAGAATAAAGTTTATATGAGAACATATTAAGTGTTAAACCTGCAGGCTGCTGGCGAGGACTTGAGCTCCATTGGCCTGGATGTCGTTAAACATTAAATCCAAACAACTCAGAGATGATTTCTCCTCCTGCTCAGAGAAAACAAACACGAAATACATCAAACATGAAACATTTTACTTACAGAAAATGATCCACCCATTGCATTTTGTTACCTACTTGCAGGAGCTTAGCAAGGTGTTCAACTCCTTCATTTGTTATGTTGTTGTACCTCAGATCAAGACCTGGTCACTCACACACACACACACACACACACACACACACACACACACACACACACACACACACACACACACACACGTAGAAAAATATTTAGTATACACACCTTGTCTGAATCAGTTGACGTGAATCCACCAGCTCACCTGTAACACACTTGTTATGTTGGAGACATTTACAGAGATCGAGGACGTCGTCGTCACTGAGTCTCTGAACCTGTCTGACATTTCCTGGAAGTTTTAGGGTGAACTTCCTGCCACACAGACAAGTTTTCCACGCCAGCAGAGAATCAATGTTTATATGGAAAATGCATTGGAAAAAACACACATCTTTAAACCAGGGTTGTCACACTCAGTTTAGTTACCCAGCCATGTGGGTAGCAGCTCTGACTGCTAATCCTATAACTCTCCTCTCTCTCTCTCTCTCTCTCTCTCTCTCTCTCTCTCTCTCTCTCTTTCTTCTCTCTATATATATATATATATATATATTTTTTATATATATATACATACATATATATAAGCGTGTCGTAGAAACTAACAGTTGGTAAAGACGCAAAGTTTCTGTGTTTTTTTGCTTCAGGCTGGGGTCCTTCTGATGTTTTCTATATGTTTTTCCCGAAATATATAGAAATAAATTTCTACCGTCCGTAATTTATTTCTACGGTAGAAATACCGTCCGTTTACCATTTCACGAGTCTGGATGCAGCATCTGTGTCTATAGTGTGAGAAGCAGCGATCTGCAGGTCAGGCTTTAAGTCACCAATTTGTAATTTAATTGGGTGCAAGATGCTAGCAGGCAAGGCATACATGGAACGCCATAACCAAGTGGCCGGCATAGTGTACAGGAACATCTGTGCCGAGTATAACCTGGAAGTCCCGAGGTCAAAATGGGAGATGCCCCAAGGGTGGTGGAGAATGACCGAGCTAAGATCCTGTATGTATGTATGTATGTATGTATGTATATATATATATATATATATATATATATATATATATAAAAAAAAATATATATATATATATATATATATATATATTTTTTTTTTTTTCACAACATTTAACCAGGTAACTGGTCAAACATTTTTTTAACCACGTGGTTATTTTCATACTGGGTGTGCTTAGTATGAAATATGAAACACTTCATGGGGATCAAGTGGTAATAAAATAATTCTAAAAAGTGCCAAGTGAGTGAGTGAATTTTCCAAGAGATTTAAATGTGTTTAGTCCACAGTAGTAATAATCGCTAACGTTAACCCACTAAAATCTTCATTTTTGGTGCCCTAAAGTTACATTGGAGTTTAAAGTGTAAACGCTTACCCCGTTAACGGCGTCTTCTTCAATGACTGCGAAACGTACGGATTCACTTTTACCTTTCTCTCAGCGCACACAGCTTTATAAAGCTCTGACGTGCTTTGGGCCGCCATCACTAGATACTGTTTGAGTCGCTATGGCAACACGAGGGACGGCAGCCGCGGAGGTACAAACAAGTAACGGGAGGGAAATTTTAACGTAAGGTGGATTTTTGACAGAAGATGAACGTTAATGTATTAAAGAAATACAATAAATGAACGTGTAGGTTTGCGTCTCAGTAAACAATTACAGTATGTAATAAAAAAAAAAGATTATAGGTGAATGTGAGTGGAATTAAAAGAAAAAAACTTCAGCTTTTGAGTTTAAAATCATAAAAATAATAGAAAATCAAAAGAAAAAGTGGCTAATTAACAAGAAATAAACATTCTAAGAGAAAAGAACATTTCCAATTTATTAGTTTCAATTTTAAATTCAGGAGAACACAAATTCAAATTTAAGAGAAAACGTTTTAAGAAGAAATATCAATGGCAAAACATTTAATTACAGCTTTTATCTTTATGATCAGTTAGTGAAATGTAAAAGAAAATAAATTGTTTTAGGAAACAAAATGGATACATTTACAAGAACACAAATTAATAAAAGTCAATAATCAAAAAGAATTGAAACAAATTTTGAGCTTTAGTCTACTTTGTGTATTTTAAAATATGAAATATATTGCGATAAAACTTTTAAAAAATTAATCCTTTAAAGGATTGTCCTCAGTTTGTCTTTAAGTCAGTGTTCTGTGGTTTTTAAAAAGCTACATGAAATATTTTAAAATCATCACTGAATATAATGTATAAGCTAAATTATTTGCATTATTTTGCTAGACAGTATTTTTGAGCAATTCCAGTTATTTCCTCATGAGGAAATAACAGTGCATTCCTAAAATACTTTTAATTGATCGGAGACTTGTGTTATTTATATATATTTAACCCTGTGTTATTGTGTTATTTATATACATTTCCAATCATAAGTATTACATTTATTTATGACAAGAACCTGCAGTTCCTTAAATAGTATCCACTGAGTTCTAGACACTTTGCTCAGTAACTGTGTTTTATTGCAATGTGGATGCTTTCAGAACATACTGATTAGATTATAAATCAAATTACATCCTCTAAACAGGTGGTTCTGCTTGAGAAAAACAACAAAAACATTTGCAGTGACATAAAGAACAAAAAAGTAAAAATGTCATAATAAACTGACAAACAGCCGTCCGATTGTCCCTTTTTTGTCGGTCTTTATTTTCCTGCTGCTGTTGTACATTTTTCATACAGTAGTGAACTTGTATATGTAATTCACAAATTTGTACAAGTAATGCAGACATTTTACCTAAAACAAAAAAACCAAATGAAATAAACAAACAGCTACAGTCATGTTAATAGAAATGCATTTTTCACTCTTTCACACTGAAACAACTGATTTACTTAAAAAAGAAAAAAGAAGAATAAAAAGAGCCTCTATTACATCAATGAAGCCACCATTATCACATGTCACTGCAGGGTGGAACATTTATTGCTTGATAAATAAAGATGTTACATCTTATGATACCAAAGCTCCTATTCACTACGCTAACTATTAAAACAGAGTTGTACTGTATCAGAGTTATTCTTAACAAGCGTTACTCCATCAAACAAAAGGAAGCTGTAATAGAAAAAACAAACAAACAAAAAACTGCAGCCACGACATCCACATCGGAGAAAATGTTGTGTGAGGTTAGAGGACTTTAAAGGTACTTTTTGTAAAAAAAAGAAAAAGAAACAAAAAGTGTAATGCAAACGTTCACCACCAGGAGGTGGTGTTTCACCAGGAAGCACAGTTATCCGCCCCAAACAGCGCCACCTTCTTCTGTGTAAGTTTAAAATGATATCTGATCAGACCTCTAGCTTATCTAAAGTTTCTGTTCGCTTTATAAAAACACTACAGTCTTTTAGCTACCAAACGAGCCAGGTCAGTGTGACAGAGAGGACACTATACTGACTCACTGCTCCACCTTGTGGTCCAAAGTGGTATTACAGGAGTACAGCTCGGCCTTGCTTTAGCTGACATCTCTGCCACAAAATACAAAGATGTTGATTTCCATCCGTCTGTGTATCCAGATCACGGTTGTGGGGTCTGCAGTCTAAGGAGACCTTCCTCTTCCAGCCACTTAATCCAGCAGACAGTCCTGAAACACCTCGCTAAAGGAGGAAGCTGAACTACCTAAACTGACTCCTCCTACCCTGAGCTAATCGCCCTCTCTCTAATGGAGATCCCAGAAATCCACAGGAGGAAACTCCTTTTTTCATTGCTGCTTATACCCTTGAAATCATTCTTCTGGTCAGATATACAACAATTCACGCTCACAGTAACCCAACACGCTCGTCTTTGGACTTGTAAATCATCTTCACACAACGGGCTGTTTTTACAAAAAGCACCTTTAAGCGGTTTGAAGCAGGTCAGTCGCTGTGAATCAAAGCTTCACTTTCTACAGTAGAAGAAAATGTAGAATCAGTTTCTTTTTTCACACACTTCACCATTAAGCTGGGAAGTGAAACGAGGAACTTGGATCAGAACGTTGGACATCTGAACAACGGTAAATTGTACAGATCTGCTGATTGGGCTTTTCCCCCCCTCCCTTCCCTCCTGATTCTGACATCTGCTGATTGAAAAGACAGCACAAGTAATCAAACTGGTTATCTTTATGTGTACAGCTGGTTAATGCTGGGAGAAAACTGGTTACATCTGGTAAACCCAAACAGTGGATTTTACAGGAAGAATGTAGTTTAACTGTGACTCCAACGAACAGTTAGCAGGTCATTCAAAGTGAAACAGGTTTAAGCACAACAGCATGAAATCATCAGTGCTGATCATGACGTCACTGCTGAACACAAAGAGAGAATCTTATTGGGATTCTTCAGGTTATAATAATTTGATTCTGCCTTTTATTGCCGCTCTTTCCTCCTCTCTGCCAAGGAAACAAAAATCTTCATTAGAAAAATAACTGATCTGTTTTTAGCCTCTTTCAGATCTCCATCACACTCCTTTTTTTCCTCAAGCTCAAGACTGGCGTCACACAACAGTATCGGCCACTGACACGGTTAAACTGCATTTTGTTTGCCATATTACCCGTGTTCTCCTTGAGGAGCTGTAAATCGTCCTGCTGGATCATGAATTTCATTTCACTTCTACTAAAAATATGGGCATTTTTAAAAGGATGACTGGGTCAGGTTTTATTCTTATAGTTTTGACCAGTAAACCAACTCAACTGAAGCCACGCTGCTTCTTTAAGGGTTTATGTTTTGGGAGGAGGAGGAGGGGGGTTTATAGCTTCATTTGATGCTTTTTGCATCAGTGTTAATTTGGTGGAAACACTCGTCTGTAAATATGTTAGAATCTAAGTGATTTTGATAATAAACCAAAATACAGACCATGAGCTGTGAATCTGATCGTCTGTTTCTCATACGTCACAACTTTAAAAAAAAAATACTGGAAAGTTTTTTTATTATTGCAAAATATTAAATGTGTGCACGCCGGCGAATCATTATTCTGGTTTTTCCACGTACAAATTGTGGAAACCACATCACATGTTTCTAGTTTCAGCCTCTGAAATGCAGAACTTGGTGCTTTTCTCCATTTTAACTCACAGAGAGCTGAAAGTCTTTGGGTTTTGGGAAGTATGGAAGACAAAAAAAGACTTCCGAGGATTCTGCTTGAGACTTTTTTTGACAAATAATAATCACATAATGCGATTAATTTATCTAAAAAGTCCGAAAACGCTCCCATCACTGTCTGCCCTACTGGATTTAACTGAATGTGGCGACACAAAGTTTGGATTATATTTTGCCGTCCGTCGTCCAAAATATTTTGTCTAACCTTGATGTTAGTTTCTAACTCGACTGCTCGCATTTCCTGTTTGTACCACAGGTTGAAATGATGGTCAAAACTATGAAAATAAAGCCCGAGTTGGACCAAATTGTCTTTGTATTGTAGATTATCTTTACAAATGTTGATTTTTTTATCCTGAACATGAGCACTGACTTTATGCCAATCAGCGAGTGACTGTTTAAAACTGAAGTTTAGTTCTGATCAGTGTTACTCAGGCCTCACTGCTGGGGGGGCATGTTGTCCATGTTGTCCACCGTCTTGATGATGACAATCTGCTCCAGCGTCTGTGCGGGCGAAGGCGGCGGCCGCAGCTGCTCCACCAGCGCGTGCAGCGTGTCCGAGTTGATGGTCTGCTCCTGATCGGCGTCGAAGGTCACCTGCTCTGTGGTGGTGAGAGGGGTGTGCGTGGGCTCCGCCTTGAAGTCCTGGATGATGGCGGCGGCGTCCGTGACGCTGTCAGCGGTCACGCTGGCGGTGGTTGCAGCAGAGTCAGTGGTGGCGACGTCGGAGGCAGCCGCGGCGGGGTCGGTGGCTTTGGGGTTGGGAGTGGCCGGTTCAGGGTTGGCCGGCTCGCCCTCGGGGATGGAGCCCAAACCTTTGCTCTCCTGGGAGAGCTTGCTCTGGACGAAGGCCACGGGATGGCTGGTGGACAGCAGGACCACTGCTCAAACACACAAAACCCAGTCAGACGGTCACTGCTGAGCAGCCAGAAGACAACATGGAAACAACACAGTTTTACTGCCTGTTCTTTAAAAGGCCCCCAAGCAGAATTGGGAGCTTTGCTGTTGTGCCTTTAAGGCAGCAGCAGCACTGCACACTTGTTAAAGGCAGATCCAACACTCCCATGTTAAGCCTGATTTATAGCCAGGCTCACAACACTGTTTGACTTTGAGCTTGTGCTCTGGTGTGTCTGCTTTACTTTGCCATCACCAGTGGACTGGGCTTTGAGTTAATAAATCTGGAACACCCACTTAAAAAAAACAAACAATCAATAATACTATCCCATTCTCACTGGGATCACAGCTCGACCTCAAACTCTCCACTGACTCTACATACTGACGTCTGCCACGTTGGTTTAAAGATGGAGAATAACCCCACATATCTGAAGCGTACAGGCACAGAGATGGCGCCTTTAATGTGTTGACTTGGTCAGCAACCCCCCGCCCCCCAAAAAAGACGCTGAATTCACTTCCTCTATTAGGCACTTCCTCTGTTGCCAGAGAGGAAGTTTCTGCTGCTGGTCTAAGTGGTGCCTCTGCAGGTAGCCTGCACACTGCAGACAATGGGATGCTTACATGCTGCAGCATCCTGCTTTATTGCACAGGCCATGGAAACTTCAAAAAGCTAATGTGAACCAGGATACTGATGCACGTGTAAACACAGAGATGGGCTTCGAGCCTCAGGGCTGAATCATGCAGTGACACTGAGGGGTGGTTTTTCTGACTGAAGCTGCAAAAAGATCAACACGTCCCAAAACACTTTCAGGGTTCTTATTCAATTAAACTTTAACAGCACTTTAAGACACAGAGGATTTTAATAAACAGGCTGACAGCTCACCGGCTCGGGCTCTCTCCTTGTGTTGCCGCACTTCGTCGGCGTGAGCTTTGTCCTGGTGTTTGATCATGTTCTTCACGCTGGCAAATCTGTTTCCACAGAGCAGGCACTGCACGCCGCTGTTCCCCTCTGCAAACACCACGAGAACACATTTAAATACTGCAGCCAATCAGTTTCTGGCTCTCTGTTTATACCCTGATTGGTCAGAAACCGTGTGGAGCTGAGAGCTTGCTCTTTATAACTCACTTCATTTTCTCTTCCACACCCGTTTGAGGCACATTTTTAAAATAGTTTCATTATGTCAATAAAGCACATTTTAGGTTATGAGCTCTCCTGAAAGACAGACGCAGTTAGCAGTAGGATCCTGGTGTGATGCTGCTGACTTTCAGTCCCATCTAACCACTCTTTAAATGTTTGGCGTAACAAACAAAGCTTTAAACTCACCTGGGTGAAGTCGCCGCATGTGTTTCTTCAGTTCAGATGATGTGACAAATTTGGCGTCGCATTTAGGCTGCGAACATTTGTACGGAGTCTCGCCTGAAACGCACAGAAATACAGAAAAATGCCTGTAAAGTCTATTTGCCCAGTGCAGCAGGAAACCAGAGCAGCGCATCCTTTCATTTGCACGTCTCTCACCAGTGTGTTTACGTGTGTGGGCAATGAGAGAGGAAGACACAGAGAAGGACATGCCACACAGGTCGCACTGGTACGGTTTCTCCCCAGTGTGTCGTCGCTTGTGGTACGTCAGCGTGCTGGACTGAGCGAACGCCTGGCCGCAGATGTCACAGACGTACGGTTTCTCCCCGCTGTGCAGTCTGTGGGAAACGTGTTAAAATTTAACTTTATTTATAGAACAACAACTCAAAACAACAAGTGCTTAAAAAAGTCACAGGTGAGAAGCAAATAACCACCTACACACGTGTGTGCCACCCAGCAACCACATTTTTCTTCAGTGGCCCTCAGGCCAGCAGAACTGTTACTATAGAAACTACTGGGTAGTTTAACCTACAATAGGTTAATGTTATTAGTTCTGCCACTCGTAAACACCCTCGTGTGTGCGAGAGCAAAATAAAGATCTTTAACTAGCTCCTCGGTGGAAGCAGAGCAGCGGCTGAATCGTTACGTCAGTCATATGTAATAAAAGGTGGGTTGCATGCAGATACGCAGGCTCTTGGCCCTCCTGGCCTCAGCTCCTTACACACTGACGTACCTGATGTGTATTTTATAATTGGACGAGGTAGCAAACTTGAAGCCGCAGCGCTCACAGGTGTACGGCTTCTCCTCGCCGTGGTGCATTCGGCGGTGAGCGACCAGCTGGCACTTCTGAGCGAAACACTTGTCACAATCGGCACAATTGAACGGCTTCTCGCCTGCAACAGAGAAACAAGGAGGACGCTTGTTATACGTGTGTTACATTATCACTGCCAGCTGATGGGTTAAAAGGTTTTCCACTTATCTGGTGACAGACACCGGTCTTCACATCCACGTTGCACATACTTTCATTTTAACTCAAAGGTTTGCTGAGTGATACGATGCATTTCTGTTCCAAACTTAAACTCATGCTTGTGCTCAACATCCTATGTTTGTCTTCCTGCTTCCGGAGCTTGTTTTTGCAGCTCAGGAAGCAGAAAGTATGGGACAGCTCTGTGACACAGAGGGAGGATTCTGCTGCAGAGGATGTGCAAACGTCTTACGCATTTAAATGTCACAGAAAAGCACCGGAGCGCCAGTTTGACATGTTTAATACGTGTAAGAAACTTTTCTTCTGTTTATCAAGCTGATTTCAACCAAAGTTTTCACTGAAATGATGAATAAAACCAGCACACAGGCATCCACACTCGAAGTCAGGTGACAGGAAATTACAGAGAATTGATTAGAAACAATGCAGTAAGGTTACAGACTGTATATAAATGATGGAAGAAGTCCTGTTTTTAAAACAATAAACATGACTCTGTTGGAAGTAAGGCTACAAAGTAGCATCTGAGCCCAGAAACTAATGGTGTCTGAAAGCAGTGACTGAGGTTTTGTTTTATTTTGCAAAGAAACAAACAAAACCAAAAACCTTTAGCTGATTAGGGGTTAAAGTTAATGAGATTCAAATCAAAGTAACCGAAGTTTGATTCTGACTAAGAACCTTGCAGGTGGATTTTCCTGTCTTTACACACTTAATTATAAATGAAAAGGTGTGTAGCAGCCTCACATCTTCACAAACCCAGTACCAAAAACACGTGACACTCAGTGCTGAGCTCACCTGTGTGTATGCGCAGGTGTGTTTTCAGCTGCGTGGCCTGCCTGAAGGTTTTGGAGCAGAAGATGCAGGCGAACGGCTTCAGCCCCTTGTGGATCTTCTCGTGGCGGCGCAGGCTGCTCACGTCTTTAAACAGTTTGTTGCACTCGGTGCACGACAGCGACATCTCGCCCAGAGCCAGCGCATCCATCTCCCCGATCTCTCCCTCTTCCACTCCCTCCCCCGCCTCCTCCTCCTCTGTGCCTCCGCCAATGCTGTCATCCCCCGCCTCCTCCTCCTCCTCCTCCTCCTCATCGGTCTGTCCCCTGTTTCGGCCCCTGCCTCTCCCGCGGCCTCTCCCTCTCCCGCGGCCTCGCCCTCTCCTCCCCTCTCCGGTGCTCAGCCTCGGCCTCTTCATCCCAGGCTCCTCCTCATCTTCTTCCCCCTGTGAGGGGCTCCAGTCTGCTGAGGTGTCTCCAAAGTCCTTCACGCTCGTATCAGAGTCATCCAAATAGAGTTCTTGACTTTTTAAGCTCCCTCTTCCTCTTCCTCTCCCCCTGCCCCTGCCCCTGCCTCTCCCTCGTCCTCTCCCTCTGTAGCTGTAGATTTTGGGCATGCCGTCAGCCGAGCTGCTCGCCTCCATCTGCTCGTCGCCAAAACTTTTAGGCTTTCTACCTCTCTTCCTGCCCCCTACTCTCCCGGTGCTCCTTGGCGTGCTTGGGGTGTATTCTTCATCGTCTTCCACAAACATATCTCTGCCCTCATCATCCTGCTCTCTGCTGCCCTTACCTTCCTCCTGCCATTCCCCCGCAACAGAGACTATGGATAGTGGGACTGGGGAGTTGGGGCTGCTTGGGGAGGCGGGGCTGGGAGGCGAGAGACCCGTCTCTTTATCTGCCTCCGACTGTGACGTTTCGCCGAGCTCAGACCAGTGAGGGAACTCCTCCAGATATTTCGTGGCCTCGGCCATTCCTAAGAAGATGGCAGCTCGCCGTACGGCCGCTTGTCGGGTGCTGGAACCAGAAAGAAAAACATTTTACTCAAAGTACCAACTCAAAATTCAGTTCACAAGTGTCCCACGTCTATGACCTTCTCATAATCTAACATCATGAAATCAATGAAATCATTAACCAATGAAATCACGCTAAAAACATATCCTTAGAAACTAAAGTGGCTGCTTGTGCAGTATGTCACTAAAATGTTGAAGAAGTTGATCACTCCAGAGAATAATCGGTGGGCAACCCCAGGCCTCAAGGGCCGGTGTCCTGCAGGTTTTAGATCTCACTCAGGGTCAACACCCCTGAGTCAAATGATTAGTTCATTATCAGAGCTCTAAAGAACCTTAAGACATGTTGAGGAGGTCATTTAAATCAGCTGTGTGGGATCAAGGACGCATCTAAAACCTGCAGGACACCGGCCCTCCAGGCCTGGAGTCGACCCCCCCCCCCGTTGTACATAAACCTAAAACACTCGCCTTGTAAGTTATTGCTTGTTGTTGTTATGGAAACAGCACCACCCAACAGAGCTAGCCAAACGTCAGGTATGAATACCTTAAAGGGGCGTCCGCAGAACAAGTATCTAACAGTGCCATGGCAACCAGTGACCACAAAAAGTCAGTCTGGAGTGAAAAATTGGTCAATTTAGAGGCAACTGGTTGAAACAATAACTGATGAGAGTGAGTACGGACACCTGACATGGGACAAGGCGATAATGCAGCAGAGTGCTACTCAGCAACGAGAGCCTGAAACAGCAACAAACTGATGACGAACGGATCGCTTCCTGTGCGGATGCCCCTCACTGGAGTCCACTTATCACCAACATCATCAAACAACTGGCTCAAGGCAAAACTCAAACTCAGTGCTGCGCTTAATCAAGAAGTCTGCCTGTACAAGCAGGTGAGCTAACGTTAGCTAACACATATGGTCAAAAGGAGTGACTGCAGGAAAAAACTACAGTCAACATTAGCAGACAACATTAACCAAACTAAGATCTCTGCTCAAATGACCAAACTGCAAACGTCTCACTTAGCAAAGCTCTCCTAGCTAACAAAGCAACATCCTGTCTTGAAGAAGCTACTTTCAGTCCTTGTTTCAAAAGAGATCTCCACAGCGTGTAGCACCACACGTTTGATTTTGCAGACCTTTCATAAATAGTTTTTTGTGTCCTCCTGAGATCTTTGGCTTGTTGGCGAACAGGTAAGCCACCATACTACGAAGCCGCCATCTTGATTTGCAGCGATGAAGAAGCCTTTAACGCCACAAAACAACCAAGAACTTATTCACGCAGCTAGCGGGCTAACTGTATCTTGTGTGCCAACTTTAAACCTGTACTGTCTGAAAAACTATTTAGCTACCTTTCTTAATTAAAAAAAACAAAAGCTTAATGAGCTAATGTGAGCCACAACAACAACTAATAATAAACACATTTTAGCCATCAGTAAATCACGTAGAGGCACAAAGCAAAGATGTTTCACTAACATTTACTTTCCATAACATGTATGTATCTGACGTTGGCTTCATCACATCCAAGTCTACTTTGCTGTCATTCTGTTCATATGTTGTACACTCAGGTTGTTGGGTATACAGATGTAGAACTGTACAGGATGACCCTGCGTAAATGCTATCCGTGTTTTGGCTGATGCTGGCTTCTAAACCCTCACGCTTACCTGCTGAGGTTCATGTGTCCCGTGTAGACGAACTCCAGGAGCTTCTCCAGCGAGTACCGGCTGACCTTGTCGGGGTCCAAAGTCGTGATCTCTTCCCCCTTTTCAGCATGGGAGGAGAAATACTCACTGAACGCAGCGAGGATGTTACGGTGAGCCCTGAACTCCACGTCCTTCACCATTATGGTGATGTCACACAGAAAGTCCATCTCCCGCTGCTGGTGCAGGCGCTGCAGGAGCAGCTTCCCATGGTTGAAGACATGCGCCATCACTGCTGCTGGAAAACAGGCGAGGGCATCCTCATCACTAACGCATTAGCAACGGGAAAATACAACTTTGCATGAAGGGAGACGTTTCTCCTGTGTTTGAGCCACGGAGCTCCAGGAGCGATGTAAACAAATTACTGCAGCTACAACACTTTTATCCAGAGTTTTTTCCCACACAGTCCATCAAAAATAGCTTTAACCGAGTCCAAGGAAAAGAACCTGTTTTTATATAATATAACAGATTTTTTCAAAAACTAACTTTGGTAATTGAGGCATTTTTACTAAATTATTATAAACACTCAAAATGGACTAAACTTGTGGAGTCAACCATGAAAAGCCCAATTATTTTATAGCTTTACATGAAGCGAGCCTTGGTACGGTGGGTGTGGCTTCTGTGTCTTAAATACCCATCAAACAGGCCAAAGCGGGGAAAAAGCTGTTGCTTGTAAATGCAATCAATGTTGTTTGAATTATTAGACCTTAGAGCAGGGATGGGCAACTCCAGGCCTCGAGGGCCGGTGTCCTGCAGGTTTCAGATGTGTCCTTGATCAAACACGGCTGATTCAAACGGCTAAATTACCTCCTCAACATGTCTTGAAGTTCTCCAGAGGCCTGGTAATGAACTAATCATTTGATTCAGGTGTGTTGACCCAGGGTGAGATCTAAAACCTGCAGGACACCCGCGCTCGAGGCCTGGCGTTGCCTACCCCTGCCTTAGAGATTGACTGAATAGTATTTACTACCTGTTTGAGGCCTTGAATTATTCTCATACACCTGAGAACATCAAGGGACGACTTCAGTAAGGCTAGATGTTATATTAGCTCATCCATTCGTAACATACAGGAGAAAAAAAAGCTAGAATCCCCCCCCGCCCCACACACACACTTCTAATAATATCACATTTATGCTCACTGGGGAAAGAAAAAAGCTTTCAGTCTTCAAAAACATCAGATCCTTCTACTCCAGAGGACATAGGTTTTTCCAGCACTGATGACACCAGCGTATTCTACGCTAGATTTGACACAGCGAACACCATGACACCGGACAGTGTGCGCACCGCGGATGACGTCAGTGCGCACACTGTGTCTGAGGAGGATGTGCGGA